GGGAATGCCAATCTCCAGTTTGTCTCCCATTAGGTGGATAGTAACTCCCAATTTATGTAAGATATCCCTTCCTATCAGGGATATAGGACATTTGGGAACGTGTAGGAAGGAATGGGTGACGTGTTTGTCCAATTTGCATTTTAATGGCTCTATGAATGCCCGTTCTTGGGCCTTCCCTGATACTCCCATAACTTTACAACTCTTATGACTGAGTGCCTGATCTGGTGTTCAGAACTGAGAAAGTGGCACCAGTGTTGACTAAGAATTCAACAGACTTTTCCCCAATGTCCAGTCTCAGATGGGGCTCCTCGGGGGTCAGTTGGAGTGCTGGCTTAGGAGCTCCTGGCCCCATTATTCTTCATCTATTTGGACCATCTGCCTTCGAGGGTTGTGGCTGGGTTCTGCCATTTCCATCCACCTTGGGGGGCGCTGAGGGCATTGTCTCTTCTAGTGTCCCTCTTGTTTACATATGGCACACTGATTGGGTACTAGTTTCCTTGACTTGCTATACCTTGGTGGAGGCTGGGGATCACTCACCAGGTCGAGAATCTCCGTGGGTAGTTAGTTCAAATTCCCATGCCGTCTGGTTGACACTGAAGGGCAACAACCAGTAGGTGAGCTTGCCTCCAGGCCTTTTTATCCTCTATATTTTGGTTTTTAAACACCCAGTAGGCAATCTCAACCAGGTGAGAGGTACACCTAGTGTCGGGGGCACTTTGGGCCAGTTGACAGGTTTCTTTTCTGCTGCCTAGATTCCCTTTAGGAGTGATCTGTCCAGTCGAATTCAACGGCCACTATTTTCAGCTCAGCATTGGTGTCTTTTCGAGGGACCAAAAACAAACAAAAAAACCCTTTTATTTACTTAGAAGTATTTGTCTGTCTCATCCTTGACTTTTAAATTTAATTCTCCATATGTGCTTTTATTCCCCTCCTCCACCATGCCCAATCCCAAATTCTTTTTTTCATCTTTTGCAATTTGCACTGTTTTAGTTATTTACTTCCCTAATCTAGATGTGGATATGTCTCTACATCTGTTATTAAAATAAGAGTCTTTTTTGGTGATGTCTGGGTCATGCTGTCATTGGTATTAAAAATGTTCTCGTTTTCATTATCTGAACTCTTAGAAAACATGGTCATAATAGTCGCACTGTTAGAAATTAAACTAATACTATATCAGTACAAAGCACAACAGTTAATCCACAGACAAAGCCATAGTAGACTAATTATTAAAGCTTATGATTGCAGTGCACTTAAATTGTACACTTAAATTGTATCACTCCAGAGTGATGCAACAGTGGATAAACCATTTTTGTAAACTGCAAATCATGACTGCCAGCATCAACAGCCAAGGGGGAAAAAAAGCAATAGTAAAGACTAGGAAAGGCATAAAATCTTTGCCTTATCCACTTGAGAGGATAACAGTGTTGCTTACACCTTTACTTTTGGGGCCACCTTATGGGTTTTGTACTTATTCTCCTACTTTCCCCAGCCATCCTCCCAAATCAGGACTTTTGAAGTCCCTGGGAGGGATTTCCTGCGGCAGTTCCAGGCAAAACTTTATGGTGGGTCACTCCACCTCAGTCTTCTCCTTTCATTTCTCCTTTTTTCTATCTGTCAATCCCCCCTTCTCCTTCATTCTCCTTTGCCTCTGTCCTCAGTCTCTCACTCTCAGTCCGACATTCTCCCCCATTTTGTCCTCTAGTCTCCATTCTCTGTTCTTTTTTTTTTTTTTTTTTTTG